TTTCTTGAGGAGAGTCCTTTTAAACCACCCACTAACAAGAGCAGTAAGTGCATCTTCATATGGGTGAGGAGCACTGATTGCATAGAGCCAGTTGGCTTTAGACCGTACATGATCTCTGCAACTCTCAAAGAGACCAAATAGCAATATTCCAATGGGAAACAATGTTCCAGATTTCATCTGGGCTTGTAAATTGCTCAGTGCATGCTTATTTAGCTCCCTTTTTAACATGGAAACAAATCACAAATGCTTTTTTGGCTGACTGAGTACAAATTGCTGGATAATTTTCAGTTCAAGAGTCAAGAAGTTTTATACAGCTGTCCTGATTTTATTCCTGCATTGATCATGTATCAAAGCAAGTCTTCCTAATACATAATCTGTTTACAGCTTGGTTGGTGGAGAAAAAATTATGAGTGGAACTTGGGGAAATCTATGTGGACCTTCTTCTCAGAGCAGTCTTGGCATTTGTAAATACTTTCAGTATTTCATCTCTGTGAAGAGATGAAAATTCCCGTAACCTTATTTAGTGCAGCCAGAGAGAGCAGATTTGAAGGAAACGACTGCCAACTTCTTCGGCCTGCAAAACCAAAGTAATTTTCATATGGCTGAAGGCCTCCCATGAGTGGAAGCTGAGACATCTGTATTAATTCAGAAAGAGATGTTCTCTGAAAACTGTGAAGAACCGCAAGGTACAAACAAGTACAGAGGGACCACAACAATCTGTATGGTGACCAACCAGCTTCTACTGAGCCATGCCAGGGAGTAGTAGAGGATTGAAAAATAAAAAAGAGGAAAATAACAGCAGAATACCTCCTCATCACAAAGCTGGTTGGAATAACATGTACATGAGTTGTAAAAAGCTTTGGTTTTCTGGCAAAGATACATATGCTGAGTTGGAGGACTGTTTTGCTACATATACAGACCTGTCAGATGTAATTAACATGTTATGCACAAATCCTTATGCCTGATTGTTGTCTTCCTTTTGCTTTTGAAACATTCTTGACTTTCACCCTGAGTATTTGAATTAGCTCCAGATCAACAGGGAGATAAAAGGTGAAGACAGGAGAATTGCTGCAGGAAAACAGTGGGTGCCTGTTAAACTCTTGTGGCACAGTGGTAAGCCATGCTTGCATCTGAACAACAACAAGAAAAAAATTGTAGCTATGAAAAAACAAACAACAGGAAGGAGTCCTGCCCGGTGTGACAAGGTAGCTGAGCCCTTATGTGGCCAGACCTGAATAAACCAGGTTCATCTTCAACAGCCCAGTGCACGTGGGGTCAGAGTCAGTGCTGTGTCCAGAGGTCTGTGGGGAAGCAAACCCTCCTCAAAAATATACACACACGAGAACTCAGAGTGATCACTGTACCAGGAAAAATCAGGATAGGCTAAGAAGGGGAGGGTAGGAAGAGGATTTCCAGGAGGAGAAATACTCATAGCTGCAGCTTAAAATGTAGCTCTGTTTTTGTCCTTACTGAATATTTGTGTACAGTTTCATAGCAGTGCAGGCACTTGGCAAATATTGCCAAATGGAATTTCAGCATTTTATTATAATGCTAGATAAAAATCAAACATAAACAAATAAATATTGCATTGTTTGAAGACCTGTGGGGAGTAAGATTATTATGAGTAGTAAATATTTATTATTTGGGGACATAATGAAAAGTGGAATTTTTACATTTAAAGTTTCTGATTTGCTGGTTTAATAAACTGCAAAAACCTTTTAAAATAGGCTTTAGGCCATTTTACTCCAGAATACTGTTAAGTTTTTCCTAAAGGTAGGTTTCACTGTTGTCACGGAACATACGTTGAGATCTGCAGACTTTTCTTTCTGAAAACATTGTCCTTGTTCACAGTGCTTCTCTTTTTTGTGGTCTTTCTCATACACCTTTCTCTTCAGGTATTCATGTTGCTAAAAAGATAGACAAGCTGGGTATGAGGTCATCAGACACAGCTCAGATCTTTTTTGAAGATGTAAGGGTCCCCTGCAAAAACCTCATCGGTGAGGAAGGAAAGGGTTTCACATACCAGATGTTGCAATTCCAAGAAGAGCGGCTGTGGGGAGTAGCCGTCGGTAAGTCATGGTTCGCGCTTCTGCAGTCGGGCTGGGACACAGGGGTCACTCTTCGCATGACTAACAGCACTTTTCTTTTCTTGTAAGTTGCAATGACCTTTCAGGATCTGTTTTTGAAATCCATCATAGCCTGGATACAGACAACATTCCCTTTTGTGTAGGAAAACCTGAAGCAGAAAATATTTTGTGAGCCATTGCAGAGGCTCTTTTTGCCTTGTTTCTTTTTCTTGGTGCTTCTCTGCTGATAAGAAAATATGGCATCATGTTATGTCTATTACAAATACGGTGCAAAGGCTATCAAAATACCGGCATGAAAAGAAGGATAGTGACTTTTCCTGTAGTACAGTGAGTTACTGATTCTTATCATGGATTTTAGAAAATTAACTTACTGGCTGCGTAAAGAAGTGGCTCTTGCAGGATGTCAGAGTTTTGTTTTGCAGATCTGTTTTACCTCTGCACACTTTGAACATAAGTGGTACAGCACCACATTCCTTTCCCTGAAGTTATGTTGTCACAGAGTTTATGTTACTCAGAACTCAGGCTGTACTCAAATCCATGTATTTGGGTTATATGGATTCTGGATATTGCAGGAAACCAGATCCAAGTCTGGATTGTCTATTTTCAGTCTGCAAACTTTCTCCCTACCCCCCAGTGTTTGCTTCCTCCCTACCCCTCAGTGTTTGCTTCTTCAAGTTAAATATGATGTGGTTCACTGTAAGAAGATTGGTCCTCTTTAGATTCCAGGGTTGACTAAATAATGTTACTGTATTCGTGCTCTTGTGCATTCCCTGTCTGTCACTGTGAGTGACTGGAGAATTGAGCATTCTAAGAAGTAGTGTTTTGATTCAGTGAACGGGTTCATCCCAGACCAAATATTTTGGAGTTCAAATGCCTTTTAAAAAAAATCGTTTTTTGAGAAAAAGTTCTTAGTTCGGCCTGAGATAAGTAGTACATGTGAGAGTAGTTTCAGCAAAGGACAGGAGGTCACATTTGCCAAGGATGTCACTGCAGACTCAGGCAAGCAGGAGATGTGATCCTACCACTGCTTCTGCTTTAATTGAGGTGTATACAGACTGTAAGGATGTGCATTTTTATGCTCAGTTTGAAGTCTAAATTAAACAAACCATCAGAAGCTCTGGGCAGCAGTGAGACTCCCCAGGCAGCAGAGTAGCTGGCAGCATTAGTCATGCCCCAGGCAAAAGTGACGTGCACTGACAGCATCAATACACAAAGCATGGCAGGTTAGGTCACTCCTGCTAAAACCACGGGCAGCTTGGTACTGTCCAGTCTTGCACAACTGCCTGGCTGTCACTCTGCTCTTCCAGGAACTGGAACACCAGGTTTCAATTATTTTTTCTTTTTTTTTTTTTTTTTTGTCCAAAACAACGCAGCAGGAGCAGGTGAACCCTTGCCCTGAATGAGCAGCCTGGGAAGGGCAACTCTCCTCACCTGCTGTGGCCACCAGGGAGGGAAAGCCTAGGAGCTCACCTAGGAGAGGGAGCTGTCTTTTGCAGTAGCTACTGTGTAAACCTTGCTGGACCCCTCCAGTTTGCTTTTTTTCAACTATCTGATATAAAATGCATAAAAGCACTGCCAGCAGGGACAAGACCCATGGTTTGGGCCAAGGTGCAAACTTCAGAGATCACCAATTGTGGTAAACAAGAAAAAGAGTAACCAGCGTTCAGAAGGTACTTGATGGGTGCAGTTTGTTGTACCACAGCATCAAGAGGTGTTAACTTCCAGTCCTGCAGTTTGTTGTACCACAACAGCAAGAGGTGTTAACTTCCAGTCCTGCAAATGGTTTCACCTATGTTCAACCATGACTGCTCTGCTGAAGGCTCACATGTGATAAGTGATGTAAGTGCCTTCAGTAGTTTTGTGATTAGATCTGCATGTTTAATCCTGGTCTTCACTTCTGCCCCTCAGTAGGACATTTCTGTTCCTTCCCAGTTCATGATTGTAACATTGAAAATCATCAATCTGCTTTTAAATGCTTTAGGGACCAGTCCTGGCATCCTCACTTTCACTGCTCCCTTTAACTTGGAAAAGGCAGTTGACTGCATTCTTTCTGTTTTTCCTTTTGAGGTGTTATTTTGTTGTGTTTGGGGTTTTTTGTTCTGTTTCTCTTTGTTTGCTGGGGAATTTATGTATTTTTAGCTTCAAGTATCACATGCTTTAGGCTTCTTTTTGTTTATTAATTATCTTCTTTGTGGCCAGTATCCTTCTTATCTTTCTTCACCTTTTTTTTTTTTCCTTTTAACATCTATTTTCAGCCAAACAGGTATAAAATATAAATGGAAAACTAACTTCCTGGAATTGCAAAATTTGGTCCCAGGTGTGGTCTCTTCTTCTGAGTGACATATTATCAAAGGCATTAGTCAAAGTCACTGTGTTTCTTGCTTCACTGAAAGAAAAAGGGTGCCACGTGTCTCCCATGTTGTGACACTTGGTAAACACTGTCCATTTGAGGACCTGTTGCATTGATCACAGGAAAAGAATGTTGCTATGGCAAAAAAAAGCAAACAGTTGTTTTGTGAATTGCTTAACTCAGAGACAAAGAGGGAATTCAGTGTGCGTGTGAAAGCAGAATGGCACTTTTCTAATGACTTCTATTTGCTCCTGCAACTTCAGTTTTATGAGCACCATTGAGTCACGGCCAGTAAGTGGGATGACAGATCCTTTTGCATGGGCAACGCACATCCTTAAGAATCATATTGCTCAGCTTAGAGCTCACTGTTCATTAGAGAGTGATCAGTCACAACCTAAGAGAAATATATTAATTTCTTTTTCTTTTGAGAGGAGACACAGCAACAAGACAAAGTGTCTTTACAGTGAGCAGAAATTTCAAGTGGAGTAATATAAGTTGGATGGAGATACAAGGAAAAGATTATTCTCCATTTGGCAACTTCAAGTGCTTTCACAATTCTCAGCTGTGTGGTAGGCCACACATTCCTTAGGCTGACCTAGAGTGACATTTCCTGCATGTGCTGTCAGTTGAAACCCACGGGGCTAAGTTTTTCTAAGGATGTGGGGAACATTGTATAAAAGAAGGAAACAAATACACAGAAATAAATAGGGGGGTTCCTTATCATGAATGGCATTTCTCTGAATTCGTATGACTGGCAAAATGTTGTGTGCTGTTATCTTGTTGAACACAGCTGTTGGCTGTCATGATATTCATGATGTGCTGCATTTTGGTGCTGTTTGCTACACAGCCAAGCTTTGCCATGTTAGAGCTGTGCTCAGAGCTCTGAATACCTCTAGTCAGCATCACAGAATGGTTTGGGAAGGGACCTTTAACGTCCAACCCCTCCACCATGGGCAGGGATGCCTTTCACTAAACCAGGTTGCTCAAAGCCTCATCCATCCTGTCCTTGAACATGTCCAGCGAATGGACATGTCATGGGGCACCCACAACTTCTCTGGGCAACATATTCCAGTGTCTCACCACTGTCTTAAGGAATTTCTTAGAATTGTAGAATGATAGAATTGGTTTGGGTTGGAAGGCACCCTAAAGATCATGTAATTCCAATTCCAAAACATTCTTCCTTATGTTCAATATAAATCTACATTCTTTCAGTTTAAAACCAGTTCCCCTTGTCCTGATTCTACAGGGTCTGGTAAAAACTCTGTCCCCATATTTCTTATAAGTTCCCTCTGTATATCAAAAGGCTGCAATAAAGCCTCCCCACAGCCTGCACTGCTCCAGGCTGAACAACCCCAACACTCTTAGCCTGTCCTCATAGGAGAGGTGCTCCAGCCCTTTAATCTTCTTCAGGACTCTCCTCCAGGACCTGCTCCAACAGATCAGTGTCTGTTTTGTATTGTGGGCTCCAGAGCTGGATGCAGTACTAGAGATGGGGTCTCAGGAAAACAGAATAGAGGGGGAGAATCATGACCCTTGACCTGACGGCCTCTTGAAACAGCCCAGGACAGTCCTTTGATTTCCTCTGTTTCTGTGTGCAAATGACAGTTCCTGAAATAAGAAAAAGGGCAGTAATGGCAGCTAAGGAAACAGGAGGATGGATCAGCAGGGGCAGGAAGGAGGCAGGGAATTGGAGAGGTCGACACTATAAGAGCAGTTTTCCCAGAACCCCAGTCTGAGCCATGGTGTGTGGTGGCAGCCTGAGCAGAGTTTGGCCAAAGTCCCTTCATGATCTTTAGACCTTTGCAAGAAGGACCTAAACAGTTTCTGTCCTGTTTCTTCCTACCTGATCTTGCTCCTGCCTCCTCTTTGCAGTTTCCCATCCCCTCTTTCCCTCGTGCTGGATGCTGGGAACCACACAAGCTGTGCTGGAGCACCTTTCTCTGACAGAATAGCACAAGATTAGTCCCTTGTCCTTATCCCTTCCACCTCCCTTCTGCTCTCTCAGCACTGGCATGTACTGTTTAGTTTCCCACCCAGCAGCTCAGACTTCCCTGTGTTCCTCCCAGATTTCAGTCTGAGGGAGAGGGACAAGAGGTGCCTGGATACTCCTTGCTCTTTCCTTATATTTCTCAAGCTGCAGACCATAGACATACAAGTAAAAAAGCTGCTGGTGTTACACATGCTACAGTGTTGTTTGACATTGTCTTTTGGAAGGACAGTATTTCTATTCAAGAGATGTTTCTGAAAACAGAAATTTATTTTCTTGTCCAGAAAGATAGCATTTGGGTGACAACATAGTGTGTTAACACAGAAGAAATGAGGACATTTCTTCTTATAAATATGCTCTTCTGAAAAATGTGCATTGAAGTCAGTTGTATGAGAAAGGAGAGGAATACATTTAGGTAATGAGAAAGGCTGATCACCCTATGGAATGTGGAGACGTGAAAAATGGTGATCTGTGGAAGTGATGGTAAATGATCATGTCAGGGGGCATTGGTGGGATGCAGAGTCTACACAGGAGAGCAGTAGAGAGATTAAGTTTAAATAGCAGTGATCTCAAAAACAAAGCAAAGAGGTATGTGGAACCACACCAGGCTCCTGCAAGGGACTGTCATGTGAGTAACTGGCAGGTAGGAAAAGGGATTTCATAGTTGTCCATTAGGTTTATTTTGCATTTCACATTCAGTGTTTCAGACTCTAAATGCAAATGGATGTGGATACGCATATTTTGAAACTATAAAATGTGACCCTTCACATACAGATAGATTTGTGAAATCATGCCCTACTGCTTGTCATAGTAACATGGGTCCACATTTGCAAAGAAAATTCTTCACACATTCTGTACCTGCTGTTATCACAGCTATACTCAATATACTGATGGCTTAGTCATTCACTTCAAGGCTGGTTTGCCTTGGAAAAGAAACTTTTCCCTTTCTTTTCTTGTTTAAAATGGGATATGTCTCAGTTTGCAGAAAAAGAAGCAGCAAACTAGTTCTGCTTTAAAGCATTGTCTGCTGCCTCTCTGACCTGTTTTACAGCAGTACACTATTTTCATTCTATTTTCATTCTATTTTTCATTCAAACTATTTTCCATTAGGAGAATTATTTAATGTTTTTTTTTTAAAGTGGATGTGAATTTTTTCTTCTCTGTGCTGGGATCTGATCACAGAATGCAGATGTAATAAGCAGTCTATTTGCATTCCTTGATCTCAGAATAGATTTCTGCCTTCTCCCTGAAGGCTTCCTTCAATTTACATTTCTACAGCATTCCTCACCAAGCACACTACACTGTCTGCCTTCAGATTTTTTTCCAGGATTTTGGAAAACCTTCAGGACACAGGTAGCATAGAAAGTAGGAGCTGCCACAAGTTTTTTGCTGGGTCCCCAAATGAGACACTAGGCGTAAAGTTTACCTCACCATGTTGGTACTTTCTATTAATCTCCTCATGCCTACCCAATTCCTTCTCCTCTCCTCCAGGTTTTGGCAGTTAGGGGCTCAATTGAGATAGATGTCTTCAAGGTACCAGGAGGTACTGGACTCAGAATTTAAGCTTCACCCCAAACTGAGTGTACAGAGTGTATCAATTTGCTTTAAAAAGCCTAACGTGTTGGTTGTGCAATGTGAAAAAAACCTTCTTTTTCAACAAGAAGCTAATCAGATCTGGCTAAAATGCTGTCTTGTTCTGTGCTTTGTTTCTTCCAGCCCTGACACCAATGGAAACTATTATACAAGAAACCATTGAGTACACCCGGCAGCGGAAGGTGTTTGGCCAGCCTGTCCTGCACAACCAAACCGTGCACTTCCGCCTGGCTGAGCTGGCAACTGAAGTGGAGCTCCTGCGCTCGCTGCTGCACCGTGCTGTGGGTGAGCTCCCACATCTGCTCCCCAGATGTGCTTCTCTTCGTGCAAAGAACCTTGTCAGGCTAAAGGAACATGGGGAGGTGATTTCCAGAGTGACTGCTTTTTTATCTCTTTTTTTATTAGCTCTCTATGTAGAAGGCAACGATGTGACAAAATTTGCTTCCATGGCTAAGCTAAAGACAGGTCGTCTGACCCGTGAAGTCACTGATAGCTGTCTCCAGTTTTGGGGAGGAATGGGATTCACCAGTGAAGTTCTCGTGAGCAGGTTTTACAGGTAAGGGAGTGATGAAAATACAAAATGGCTTTATCTGAAATTTAGCCTCTTAGATGTCTTGTTAAAGAATCACCTACTTGCAAAGAACACCAGCTCCTCACCAGTGTGAGTGGTCTTGTTCTGCTTCATAGCATGTCACTGAAGTGGGTTGTGGATGCAAGGACACCCAGTGCCATTAGCTTTGGGTAGACACGTGTTGGAACTTACTATTCTTTTGCCAAGTCTTGGCTTCGCATTACAGTTGGGAAGTTTGAACTAATCACAGGTTAGCTTAAATGTCAAATGAAAGAGAAAAACTCAGTATTTTTCCCTGATGGTCCTCTGGTATCTACCGCAGAGTAGAAAAAAGAGGGGAAAAAATTGAGAGCTACCAACCAGTGATATTGTTCTCTTTGCTTTTTGTTTGCTTGTAATCTCGATTACAAGAACAGAACTAAAACCAGAATCTTTCTTCTAAAATGAATGAAAATCAACTTCATCTTTTTCCCTGGATATGTGTGAACTTGGAGTTCACCACTTGGCTTCTGCAGTAGTCTGTTCTGATAGCAGTCTCCACCCGCTTAGTCACATCAGATACCATGTGAGACATACAAGAGATGTAATTGCTTCCAGAAAGTCGTTAGATCATTAAAATGGTACAGAGGCCTTTTGGCAAATTGGCTGAAGTCCCTTCAAATTTTAAGTCTCTATCTACTTAGAACAAAATTCTCCTTGAGGAAACAGTTTTCTTGGTAACTGGCCTCAGTGTCTTATATTCTGGAGAAGGACCAAAATTGACCTTGGATTCTCTTGCAGTAATAGCTTTCTGTTCAGCCCTTACATAGACAATACCTAATCCAAAGTTAGCCAAATTGGTGGTTCAGTTAGTTGAAAGTTTTGATAAACAAGTCTGTCTAAAGTGAGAGCAGAACACTTGAGAAAATCTGCAAAAAGTTTGTTTCTTCTTAGGTAGGTTGAGTTACTTTTTCTATTTTTAATAGCATTTTATGAACAAGAATGCCATTGCAGTAAGTCAAGAAATCCTCAATATTTTTGACAAGTGGACTCTTGAAATTTTCTTACAAAGGTACAGACAGCTTTATGATGGTGGTTTTAAGCCAGCTGTCAATATGATGGCTTTCCTTAATTATTTTTTCACAGCCTTATTTTTACAACTAATGGTCACTGGTGATGGAGGTGTTAAGAGCTGCTGCAGTAGGCATTCTGAATAACATGAATCCCTGTCTTGCAGCACTTACTGTAAATCTTGTAGTCTGTTAATGTGTACATGCTTTTACATAGCTTTGTTTTAAGATTTCCTAGCCCAGTATAGTAGTGCTGTGAGCAGGGCTTTTCTCTGTAGATTCCAGAGTGATTTCCAAGTATACCAGCACAGTCACATTTTTCCTTAGAAAAAATCCAGAGTGTTTCCTGTTGATGTACAGTCAGCTGGCTAAAGAAATGTATCTTTCTTCCTCTAAAACAAACACTATTATAAATTACTCTAAAGAGAGTGTGATATTTATACTCTGAAATTTTCTATGAATCAGTAAAATTCCATCACTGAGTAACCAAAGGTCCAGGAAGGGACAAGGAGAGTTTTACCTAAATAAACAATTATATGTTCAGGTCAGAATCTTGTTAATCTGTAACAATACATAAAGCAGCAACTTCCCTAAAGCCGTTCTTTTTAGTACAGCAATCTGAGTAACCATTCACGTCACTGTGATGTTTGTCCAGTAGGAGCAGTATAATTGCACAGCAGAACATCTAGTCCTAATGTACAAACATTTTTGTAGCATAATTTATGAAGTTCCCAAAGAAATGTTGGTTAGTCTTTGACACATCGGGCTGTTACTCCTCAAAGAACACACAGCACGGTTAGTGCATGAAGTCTCTGAATTTTAGTTATTAGTGTCAGCTAAAGATCATAAACAGAAACGGCACAAAACTGTTTGCCAACTTACTTTATTCATATTTGACATTTAATCATTAACATTTTAAACATTGTAGAATAACTGGTACTTCTTAAGTGCCTTTTCTCTAGAAAACATGAAGAGAGCTGCTTCACCATGTAGATTTCTATACAGGGTTGATTTTACATATGTAAATGTCTTACTTGTAAAGATTCTAATATTAGGTTAATTAAAAAAAAAAAGAAAAAAAAGAAGCTTAGAGCCCAAATATCACAAGGTTCATAGAAAAAAACAAGCCAATATAAAACCCATAAAGAATGGACTTTCCAAATTGTACCATGTCATAGCAGGATTCTGGAGAAGGAAAGCACTAGCCTGGAGTCATGCTTGTTTATTTTTCTCTCCTCTGTCTGAAAGGCCTTAAAGACATCGTGACTGAACAAACCCATGATCGGTATGAAAAACCCAGGTTAAGAGAGATCAGAGGAAAGAAAACTTTGAGTATCAAGTTTATTGCAATTTTTCAGATTTCATGAGTTCTAAAATATTTCAGGTGGTGATCCATATATTTTAATAGTAATGATGTGCACTTCAATTGTTATAGGAAGAACTTACATGGTCTTCTTAGAAGAGTTTAGTTTGTTCGGGTTTTTTTTAATTAAGATTGTTACCAACTTCTAAACACCATGTTTAACTGCTTTGAATTCTAAGAAGTTTCTCTCTTGTGGGCTGTGATAGGGAGAAGTGAACATTTCTTTATTGGCTACTTTGTGAAAGACTCAAGAAAGCAATAGTGAAAAATACTGACTACTCATGTGAAATAGAACTCTAAGCAGCATTGCAAATGCATAGCTGCAGAAGAAACACGTTTTTATTTTTCTCCTCAACTGTCACATAGTTATTGCAATATGAAGGTCTATTTGTAATTGAGGATAGTTAAAAAACAAACTTCTGTATAATTTTAAGTGGATTTTTTTTTTATTAGGAATGTATTTCCATCTAGTTTTTTTCCTTCACAAATTTAAAGTTAGTTCAAATACTTCATTCTGTTTCATTTTTTATTTCATTGTTTGTAGTCTTTCATTCTTCACAAAACATGTCTAAACTTGAGTGAGTCCAGACAACTGGGAGTTTTAATGAGTGTTTTTTCATTATAGCAATTTATAGTTGTACCAAACAAAATTAAACCTATCAATTTCTGCTGACAAAAGCAATTTGCTTTGAAGCCTGTAGCTAGCTTCTGAGACAAGACTTAATACCAGTTCCTGTCATCTGTGAAACAAAATCTGCAGTTTCCACCTTTTTCTGCAGAGACATTGAGAGAGATGCCCGTCTACCACTTTGTTTGACTTGTACGAGTACCTTGAGAAGGAATTTAGGAGATGAAGCACATGACATCTGACTTAAAGACAGCAAATCAAAGCAGGTGATGACTTTAAAGTAGAGCTATGCTCTACTCTCTGCATTATGCTCAGAGCAGGCCAAGGTGATGCTCATTCCCTCATCCTGGCCTTCAGAGTGTCCCTGAGGGGGAAGGGACTGGATCATGGGATCTGGCAGGCACAGCTGTGGGCAGTGCCAGCCTGGTCAGAGGCCTGCTGCACTGAGTGGCACCAGCTCAAACTCTTCTTTCTAGAAAAAAGCCTCTTTCAGATTCTGTTTAATTTGGGCAGCCTATAGGTAATCTAGCTGAGTCTGAAGACATATGTCACAAAATATTAGGCTTGAGGGTTCATCAGTAAATTTTTTGGAGAAAATTCTTGCCAGTAATAAAACCTTAAAACAGTTAAAACCTAAAAATCGTTAGTTATGAGGAAAAAAGGGTAAAGGTTCTCAAGTGCAGTTTGTGCTGAAAAGAAGCAGTGAATAAATGGCCTGGCAAGCAGTGCTACTCTGAGCCTTGCAAACCTTGGTAAGGATTAACCAAAGGCCTTCTAACCAGGGAAGTGGAGAGCAGCATCTCTGAGGGACTGCTGCCATAAAGCCAGGCTATTAGGGGAAACCAGGTTTAAGTAACCAAAACTCGCTTTTTTTCCCCGTGTCTGACTGGCCCTGATCACTTCCAGAAAAGGGAAAGAAAATTTCTTGGTTTATTTTGGCAGCAGTTTGAAGTTTCTTGAAGACACCTGCACCATGGATAGTGGAGCAGGCTACTCTCAGATGGTTTGGGAACAGAAGGGGCTTCAGTCCAATTCCATATGGTTTTCCAGATGAAAATGTAGTGTAGAGCAGCTCCCAGAGTAGGCTCAGCTAGGTAGGCAATAAATGTACAGGTAGGTAATAAATGGTTCTGGAAGAAGGCACAACTGCAAACACAACCACATTTTACCAGCTTGAAGCTACAGATTTAGGTGCCATGAGCTGCATTTAGCACATTACAAGGTGTAAAATTTTACTTGTGCTGTGAATGGGTACCTGTCCCTGCTTTATGCTTAGGGAAATCACACACAAAGGAGACCTCAGAGTGGGATAAGGACTAGACCAAATTTTCAGGAAAACTGGGACCAGGAGTTTTAGGGGCAGGTAATAGATATGGCTTACCTTATGCAAAACAAGGTCCAAGTGTCACTCAGGGTGCAGAGGGGTCAGCATGAGCCAAGAGAGGAATGTTAAACTGCAGACTCTTTTGGATGACACTATTCAGAAATACATTTTCAGGCTGTAAATTAGAGGGTTCTTAATCATTAGAACAACATTGTTATTTCATAACCTTCAAATTAGGGTAGTCCAAGGTTAAAGGGGGCTTCTTGTTTCTCCTTCAAGCAATGCTTGACACATTTCTGAAGGCTGTTTGACATGGCTTCTATGGAGAGAGGAAACATGATTTTCTAGTTGGAGGGCTTTTTTTCCCTGTTGCTACCTAACTACAAGTTATTGATAACCTGGAATGAGTTTGGTGGGTGGGAATAGTTCCTTACCCTCCCTCCTAAGTGCAGTTTCTTAACCTGACATTGAAGAATATTTTGCTTTTATTCATTAAGACATGCATTAATTTTTACCATTTATATCTCTTGATTTGGTTGAGTGAAGTCTTATAATCTACAGTGAGTATTTCAGACACATGGGATTTCCCAAATGTAAGGAAACTCTTCACAGGGAATATTTTAGAGGGATAGAACACAGTAGTTGGATTTCTCTCCTTCCTCAAGTTAACTCCCACTCTATCTAAAGAAAACAGCATTTAATGACATTCAACAAGTAGCTACAAGTTTGGGCCCTCAAAATGACACCTTTACAAACTGCCTGATGTGTTGCTGGCTGGTTCTTCGTGGCCCTTGGTCAGGGGGAAGCCACCACAGGTTGGTGCTCACTTCAGCAGGGCTGCAGGCAGTTCAGGATGTGGTGCTCTGCCATGTGGCAACAAAAAGGTGATGCAGAAATCAAAAGCAAAATGTTACTGTGCCAGATCAAAAGCCTTTACAACAGTAGCCTAACAATGCCCTTGTTAAAAAAGCAATTTACTTCCAGTATTTATATATATTGAAATATTTTTGTGCTGTATTAATAATGCATTCTTGATATATATATATATATAGTTTATATAATATAAACTATCAAACCACAAGCATACATTAAATAACTGATACACAAGCTGACTTTACTGTGTCCTCTTCCCCAGCTTCCTTATAGAGTTTCTAGTAGGATAGTTAATCCCATGGTTTTGTTTTCTTATGATAAAAGCAAGTTTCTTTCCCAGAAGAGGGCTGCTAGATTAAAATAATTTGAGGTTTTTGTCATAGTCCACTTAAATTAGGGGAAACCTTCTGTACTGTCTCCCTAGAGGAGATATCAGCAATAGTCACCTGGCTACACACTCTGTAAGAAATATTCCTTATCTCACCCAGAGACAAAAATATAATTATTGGCAAATTTGTAAAGATACACACAAGCACAAAACATACAAAAGCTGTTCTGTTTTTTTGAGATGTGTCTTTATATGTGACAGCCTGACTTGTCTGTCACACACACCACCAAAGCCAGATCTTACACTGCCTATTTCTAACTTCGTATGAACAAGCCCCATGTGTCCAGGATTCCTGCAGCAGAGCGAGGATTTCTATTGACATCACAAGGGAGTTCTGTGGATTACTTACTTGCTGTTGCTACAGTGAAGATGCCAAATGCTGGGCATTGGCAGGGTCTTTCGGCAGCTTGACAAAGCAGACAGCACTGCAGCACTAAAAACAAGCAACCTAACAGTGTTCCACGTCTGCTGCCTTCAGCAAGGCCCATAGGAAGGTGGGGAATCTTCAGCTTACTAAGCAGTGGTAGTTTTGAATTGTTCTGGTAGTTTTATTGATAGTGGTTTTTTCTTCTCCCCAAAGGAGGTCAAAATTTGTGAGTAAAATTGCTCAAGGCTGCAGTAGTTAGCACTCTGGCTAGCACAAGGAACTTGGGCAATACTGTTAGGGATCATTTAGTGGCACAGAAGCTCTATAGATTATATAAAACTATATAATATAGAATATATATATATATATAGAATACTACACTATGTACATACTAGAATACTAAAACTATGTAACATTAAGGTACTATATAATACTAATAAGGCGTTTATGAGATCTTACATAGCCATTAGGAAAACCTGGATTGGTTAAAAACCAATGAATGGAATGTATGGAAATTGTACTGTTTTCATGCAATTCTCCAATACCTCAAGTGTTGGTCAACTCTTTTATGACAGTTAAGCAAATTTAAGTGCTGCAACACTTTTTGCTGCTGGCCCTGGAAGAGCTCCCTCCCCTCCTACAGTTCAACTGCAGGCTTAGGCACCTACAGGTTTAGGACAGGAGCAGCAGGGCTGCTGTGGGAAGCACCACAGACCACCTGCCCAGGAGCCAGTGGATGAGGGTTCTGCAGGCACGTGGCGTCCATATGCAATGTGTACGTCATTCTGGGCAAGCTGTCCAGCTGTCACCATCAGAACAGCATGCAAATGTTTAAATGCACCCTTTATATTTCTGCAGGGACTTGAGATTGATGTCAATAGGAGGGGGCACAGACGAAACCATGCTTTCCATCATATGCAAATATATGGATATACTTCCAAGAAAGTGACGCATCTCCACTCTTCCTTGAAAATTAAGAAAGCAAGAGCATGACTTGTGCTGCACACTGAAGGTGATGAGCAGGCAGTATGCTTTGAGTGGAAAATAGATCAGTAATTTTGCCATCAAAATGCAAATCAAGGTCTTTCACCATTACCACTCTATTTTCTTGTGTCAAATTTTTGTTGATATGAAGCACTCAAAGTTTGTAGCCTCCTGCATTCCGTTTTTTCAGTGGGTTAAGTTTTCCAATGACCCATGCTAAGCACACAGAAAAAAATGTGTTCTTTAATCAAGCTTTATCTACACTTTAGAGCATCTAAGCTAACAATTACGAAACAGAACTTCCATATGAATGGAAGCTATGTAGCTTGATCTCATTTCAGTATGGCTTTACTTGCAAAGTGAACAATTACGGCACAAACGAATCCCTGCCATAATCAAACCCCAGAACAGTGCCTTTCCTCTCAATTACAGGTACCTTCCCTATCTTTCACTTTTAGCAAGCAATCATCAAAATGTGCTGTCATCTTTGTCAAATCCCTACCAATTTGTACTCCACTCTGTCATGGACTTTTGGTGATGGGAGTAGTGTTAAATTTTTATTTGCAGACTTCCACAAACAATTGTTTAAGTGTTGTGGAGGCCTGAACTTCAGCAGCAATGTACCATGTTTTGTGTGTAATTATTAAGAAAAATATTAAAAATAAAAACATTAATATGAAAACTGTGCATAATTACTTAAAGTCTTCCTAAAACAGCCATTTAAGCTGGAAGATGCAGCCTGTATTATTGATTAAAAAAATAAAAATTGCCCCTTAAATACAGCACCATTTAAAAAAGATACTATTCTACAGTAGAAAAAAATGTATATAAACAACACTAGCTAGGATAACACTACAGGACACTTTATTTGTAAGTTATTAATTGGTTATTAATGGTAACACATCATACAGTATTTCTAGAAAAGTTTTTCAAAAATCATAGATACAATTTCAATATCTAGGAAACTTAATTTTTTTTGAATGTTAAACTCAGCAATATAATAGCCTCGATGATTAGAAACTACTTGGTGAGCCAAAGATTTCAAAATAAAGTGAATTAATGTGACTGCACCTCCAACAAATGCATCATAATATACTTTAATATAAAATTCCAAATATCTGCCATTGTATTTCAGACATCACGCACTGTAGATTTAGGGACTATCATTAATTAAAAAGTAAACATACTAATGGTAAAAGTTCAAGTGATTCAATAGAATCATTTCAATTTTAAATACTTTAAATATAAAGAAAATATTTGTACTGCGTCCATATTGGTTGGTCCCAATGATGAAAGGCATTTGCTTAGAAGAGTAGATGTGTAAACACAATCCATCACATTTAAATTAAAAAATAAAAATCCAGTTTTAAGTAACTTCTTGCCAAAACATGCAGTTTAAACTACTTAAATATTATCAGGAAGTAATTTTTGGGGATACCACTATTACATTTGCTAGCTTCAGGCCAGCCTTTTAAAAATCCACAGGTAAGATTTATTTAGAAAGATCAACATATTCTTTGTGCTTTTGCAACTGAAATTACTATATGCTTGAAACTGGAGCTCTAATTTAGAGCATGTCCCAGAATGAAAACAAGAATGAAAAACAAAGCCTTGAAATTCTGCAATTACTTTTTTCAAATAACCATTGTTCTTTGAATTTTTTCAATCAATTCTAAAAAAACTATCTTCCCCTAAAAAAATCCATCCCACTACTCTATCAGTTTCTGCATATTTACAAATAATCTCCCCAAAAAAGGGGTGATGGAAAAAGTCTGATACATTAAGAAAACTATATATAACTTCGCATTAATTGTTAATGCAATTTACAACAATTTCACTGTTTTATCCACAAAATGTGCCACTTTAAATCAATGTCTTCAGTAACCAAGACTACAGTTGAAATTAGTCAGTGTAAACCAGAGGTAACATGCATCACCTCAGTTTAATAATCCAGTATATTACAAAAAAAACAAATAATGAAAAGAGCATCATGTAGCATAATAGCTTTGTCTGGCTTCCTCTGGAGAGTGTTCTCAGTCTGCCCATAGTTGCACCTAGAAGTCCACCCGTAGAGTCAAAATCATTCTCCTACATTTAAAAAAAAAAAAAACAAAAAACAAGCAAACAAAAGAACAAAAAACATCTTACTTTGAGAAAAGAAATACCCTTACTAAATACAGCTTTCTTCAAAGTTCCCAAAATTAAAATTATTTTAGAGGCAAAAATTAACCAGGAAAAACTTTCACCCATTTATTCAGTGCTATTTTTACCCCAAGCCAAAGCAAAGTGCAAGCAAAAAAAGCATTTCTGACTCCCTTATTTTTTGCTTCCTTCTTCTATTCTTGAATACAATTAAATACAGAAGTGCATTTTTAATGATACTAGACATTTTCTAATTGAAAACCTATACTCATAACTGAGGCGTAAAGATCTTGGCTGTGCCTTAAGAGCACATCTTATCTTTTTGAACAGAAATACTTATACTGCTGACAAATCACATGTCACAGTAAACAATAACCTGAACAAAAACTTTATTATTTTTTATAATACCAATGTTCATACTAAATGACAGGATGCTTTACATTATTAACTTCTAATCCTGACCCATATTTAATGAAAGCTAGCTACTCAACACTTACCATTTCTGATAACATTTTATTCTGGTTTTTAACTTCTGTTCCAATTTCAATGGAAAGCTAAAAAAAAAAAAAAAACAACGAACAACTGAAAACCAAGAAGTATTAAATACGAATGATCAGTTAACACATCGATTAGAGAACCGAGTTGAAAATACATGACATGACTAGCATTTCCCCAGTGAAAGTAACACCTCATATTTTCAAAAAACAAAATAACATGCACAGTATTCTATCAATAACCTTTAAGGAAATAAAGATTTTTTCATCTGACTAGATAGGTCTGAAGAGTCACAGAAAGTACTCAATGCTCCTCTTCCCCTTTTCCAGATAATATTTTACTTCAATTATTGCATGGACTTTTTAAAACTCGAAATCTAGTCAAGTCTGAAGTACCAATCACCCATTTCCTGGAACAACTGTTAAAACTGCTGGCACACAGCAGAGAGAACCATGAGCACTGGTTTGACTCTAAGTGTTGCTGCAGTAGATGCTTGTAACCTGCTAACACATCTCTTTTGACAAGCTGCTGCTGTGCTATAAACGGGACTTTCTTCAGTGGATTTGTGTAGCCCTTCTCTGCTTTGTGTCACAGAATAGAAGGGCACTGCAGGACAAGGAGGAAAGCTGCACAGACCAGGTAAAGCCAGTCCTGAGACAGTGACCAGGGCCAGCAATGGCCTGGGCAGAAGCCTGAGACAGAGCCAGAAAATGAACTCAGGTTAGGGTTGGAATCAGGGAGGTATGAGACCAGGCACAGCTGGAGCTGCAACACAGCTGCTGCATCACAAAGGTGGGAGCCAGCCAGAGAAGCCTTGGCTTAAAGCAGCTCTGGAGTTAAACAGGAGAGAACTGGCACTGAGCCTGACTCTTTGCAGCTATTCCTCTATTATCAGCACACTGACCTTGAACAACCTGCACAACTCCTGGGATGGAGGGAAACGCACTCCAGGCCTCCATGCTTTGGATTAGCCAAAACCCGTTTGTTTTCACATGTCAAAACTTGAATCTCATTACCTCATACTGATGCATTTCAATTAACAGTGAAACTGATTTTACATGAGGCTTCGTGGAAGATTATGTGAAGGTTATTCCAAATGCCAAAATTATCTCATTGCACTAAAAGATGCAACTCCAGAAGGAGCTCTTTGGGGCACCATGAACTGCTCTGTTGACATACACAGATTTTGAAATGTAACATACCATAGCAGGAGACAAGAAATTAAATTTGATAACAAAGGTCAAAGTTGTTTTTTTTACCCCTTAACTTGCTCCAAATTCTTATTCTAAACCTGTTAAATTTCTCTTTGAGACTAAACTAATTTTGAGCAACAGGATCAGCAGTAAGATTTTGAGTGAGTTCAGGTCTAAAAAATTCAATGGAATGTGCTTCATAAAACTTTAATAATTTATTTAATATTTATTAATAAGAATTTATTTAATAACTTTAAGAACAAGAAATTCACAAAACTTTAATCTCAGAGCTGTCTTTCAGTTAGACTTGTTTGAAAGAAGTCCTCAATCTCTGGAAGGAATCAGAAACATCAGAACACCAAACTTTACCAAACTTTTCCTTCAGAGGATATTAGCATGCTATTTCTAAGAGCTGTTTTCACATTACATATTTTTTTGACTGTAAATCCCATTCCCCATTCCCCTGCAACACTGAGGGTTAAGAAGTAGAGAAAATTGTGAGTGAAGCTGAACCCAGGAAAAATGGAAAGGTAGTGGCAAAGCATTTTAAGTCTTTTATTTCTCATTACCGTACTGATTTGATTGTCAATAAATTTATTTCCCCAAATTGAGCCTGTTTTGCCCATGATGATAATTGGTGAGTGATCTCTCCCTGCCCTTACAGTGATGCATGAACTTTTTATTGTACCTTTTCTTCCCTTTTCCATCCACCTGAGGAGGTATAGAGCAGCTTTGGTGGTCACCTGACATCCAACCAGGTTAACACACCATAGTTGTAAATTTGGGTTTTAAACTAAGTCTGCTGCTTCCCTGATTCATATAATTGAGTGTACTGAATGTGGTGATAGCACTGTAGTTAAATACGTACCGATTTGATGGCACTGACTTTTGTACGCAGGCTTTCTGTTAACCTGTCATTCTCTTCTTCATAAACACTGTAGCCACTGTTGGTATAGCCATAGCTCCCTGCAGCTGCTCCATCACCTGTAAACACAACAGTAGCCAGGGACAGACAACACCACTGCAGCAAGTGCTCCTGGAACAGGGACTCAACCTTCTTCTAAATGCACAAGTTACTCTTCAATATGCAAATAAAACAAGAGAAACTAAGGAATGGCTGTAATTTTTTTTCCTT